CGCGTCCGTGAACTGGGTGCTTCTGCATGTTCACCACATGTCGACCAACCTCAGTTCACGGACGGATTTGAGTGTTCACGATTTCTAAGATCGTGAACAGGGCAACGCGTCTGTGAACTCCATGCTTCGCCTATAAAAGGGACGTGAACGCCGACTCTTCACTTCACGACCCAAAACTCGCAGGAAAATTCGAATTCACGACGGGAAACCGCAAAATTCCGACGTCTTTTCAAATTTTCACCCATTTCTGGCAAGCAAAGCCCAAAACAAACTTCACACCCATTCTCCCCTCATCAAAACTGGCATTTGCTGCGATTCTGGGGAGATTTGGGGTAAGTTTTTTCCGGTCAAGTCGGCGGCGCCGAGTCTCCGACGACCTTCTAAAGAAGCTCCAGTGAACCCTCGCCGGCCTGTTTTGGGCCATTTTTTGACTTCCTCGCCCGCGCCTCACTTCCTCCTACGTTCTACTTGCGTCTCCACGTTGGTTTTTCAGGTCCACCTTGTTAATTTTGGGAGAATCGGATTAGGTAGGGAAGTGAGGATGATTTTGATGCTTTGATTGTTGAACCTAGAATTAGGGCGAGGAATTAGGTGAATTAGGTTGATTGAATGGTGGAATGTTGTTGCATTGAGCCTTGGTGGGCGTGTTTGAACCGAATTGCCTTCATTTTTAGAATTTGCCCACCAAGTGTTATTTTGTGAATGCATGTGGGGCTTTATGTTTGATTGTTGTATGGTAGCCACCGTGGTTTGGGTTGTTGTTCGGATTTTTGTGTGAATGAACTGTGAAATAACCACAACCATGACACGGTGTGCTTGAGCTTAAAGGGTCGTTTGGATTAGAGATTTTAATAACGAGGGATTTCAATTAAAATCTCTCGTTTAGAAAACCAGGTTATTTAATTGTAGGATTTACAAGAAATATCCTGTTTGGTTATGGATCCAGAATTTTAATTCAAAAGTTGAAGTTCAGTTTTGCCCTTCTTTTTCCTATCTTCCTCCGCTCCTCCTTCATCGTCGACACTATACAACCTTAACCAAACCCAAAAAAAACGAGGTTCTCTTCACTCATCTTTAGCCACCGCCACCAAATCTCAAACCCAAAACCCACCAATCAAGACCCAAATCACCACTGATCGGAGAGGTTGCATGTAGTTGGGTTCATCGACGAGGTTTGTGAGGAATAGTGTGGTCGGCGGTTTCGATTCCTCTTCTGATTCGCAGCTCCCATATTACAAATTGACGAACAAGAACCAAAAATCCTACAAATTTAATCGACGAACAAGAACCCTCCTTCGATCTCTTCTTTTCATGGGAAAAATAAACAACCAGACAGATCTGAAATCAATTTTTCCGGGCATCCTCACGAACAACTGGCGCCCTCATTAGTATTCACCGTCCGGAGCCATGGACGCCCCCGCCAATAATCAACACCCTCGCCCGTCGCCTGTATCCTCATGAATTCCGGCGTCTTCGAATCTCCGACCTTCGAATCTCCGACGTCCTCGCAAGATCGTCGACCTCGGTCGTGTCGATTTTCTCCCGCACAAGCGCCTGCTGCTATCTTCTCTTATGGCGATGCGATTGGAAGGGGTCGGGAGGGAGAAGAAGATGATGCCGGCTCTCTTAAGGGGGGATGAGGGGATTGGTCGGAGAAAATAAGGAAGAAGAAGATGGAACAAGAAGTCGAAACGTAGGTGAAGCTGATCTGAGAAGAGGAATAACATGGAATGGAGGAGGGTAGGCTTTGGGAAAATGCAATAAAAAATGATGGATTGTGAAATAGGTGGTGCCAATTAGCTATTTTGAAAGCCTTCATATGAGAGATTTTTAAATCACTAATGATCACAATCTCTCGTCTTCCCAAACACATGATTTTATTAAAATCCTGCATAACGAGGGATTGTTTTAAAATCCCTCACAAATCACTCACAAGAAACCTACATCCAAACGACCCCTAAATGTTTGATATCCATGGTGGAAATATAAGTGTGGGGGGATCTCTTTTCCTCCCAATGAGAAATATTTGTTGATTATTTTCACGTATGGTGTATGTTTGCCAATTTTTTCAGGATGCTCAACTTGGATCAAGAGTACATCAGCTACCTGGTGCATCACGCAGAGTTTGGCGACAAGTTCGACTACCAGAGGGACATTCCGATTGGGCCCCATTGGCGGCTGGACTTGGACATGTTCAACCTATTCAGGTGCCAAGCCGCGGTGTCAGGGGTACTTTGTCACCCCCAGTGGCGCTAGCTCCTGACGGTGAATGAGCAGATCGACCATGAGATCTGTATGGAGTTTTACTCCACCTTCTCCCACGTCCTCCCGGTCAGTAAGAAGAGCTGCCCACACATGGAGTTCATGCTGGGAGGTCAGCCACGAGTGCTAAAATACGATGACTTTGCCCAGGCCATGGGGCTCGACACCACTCACATGATGATGACGGAGCGGCAGTACACAGTGAATTCAACTATCAGGGAGCATTCCGAGCCGTCTGTCGCCCCGAGCACGAGCAAGACGAGTTTGAGGGGAGCCTCACCAATGCGGTGAAACTGAGGACCCCTTGGAGGATCCTCCACACTTTGCTCACCCGCTCGGTCATCCCCAACCTGCTGTCAGGTATTTGATGACGAACAGAGGGTTAATTGCCCTCTGCTCCATGAGGAGTCCGGCGGAGCCGATCCATGTGGGATCTCTGATCGCCACTTCATTTTCCCGTTGTCTGGGGTGGAACAGAGTGGACACCATGCACATGGGGGCCTCATTACAATCAAGGATAGCCCACACTTGCACGTGGATCTCGCTTGGTGCTCCATCGTCGGGAGAACGGAACCCTTCCCAGTGGCGACCCTTTACAACCAGAAGCTGGTACTCTAGGGAGAGTGAGGAGTGGAGTACCTCGAGGGACTCTGACCATTAGGAGTCATCAGAGAAGCAGTCGACCCGGTCTCCAGTGGAGCCTGATCAAGAGGGCCCACCAGCAGAGCAGCCACCTGCTCGAGCACCCGGCCGCCACCGGCATCCCGGGCTCCAGCGGGCAGCCAAGCCACAACCAGTAGCAGCAGAAGGTGATCCCCTCGTCCAGATGGTGGATCGCCTAGAAACGAGCTTCTTGGGAGTGAGCTTCTTGGGAGTGACTTCCAGATGAGAGGGAGGGTCCATCCATCCGCGAGAGATAGCCGGCGAGTGAGACATGTGGCAAAGCCGATTTCTTTCGCCCCACTTCTTTACTTGTAACTCTGAACTCGTTTTTGTTATTTTTCTTTCTTTTGTGTGTGTGTGACCATAAACTACTACTATTATCGTATTGTGTTTGTAATAACCTCACCTCGAGCGAGTCGTATTGTGTTTGTGTGTGTGCTTTTGACTCTCCTTGAAGCTCTAAATATCCTACCCCGGAATCGATTCCAACTTTCACTCACCATACCCAAGCGGTAACATCATTCTAACCCTATCTTACGCCATTGAGGGCAATGTCGAGTTTAAGTGTGTGTGTGTGGGGGGGGGGGGGGGGGGGGGGGTAGTTTACTATTATGCTTGTTTGAGTGTGATTGATGCTTGGAGTCTTGATGTATGCCCAAATTTAAAAATTTTGAGGGCTCCAAGCAACGTTTGCATGATCAAAGTGGTCGGTTTGTGTGAAAATCTCGTGTTTAGGTGGCAAAGTTTTTACTCTCTAGTACACCCCTCAAAAAGAAAAGAAGAGAAAAGAAAAAGAAAGAAAAGAAAAGAAAAAAAGGTAATAAAACGGGAAAAATAAAGTAGAGAGTGCCATGAAAAACCAAAGTGTATGCTCTAGGAGGGATTTTTTGGCACTCAAGCCACTGAAACCCTGCATTGCTTTAGAACTCCTTCACTACCAAATCGAAAGGTGATAGAAAGAGCAGATCGAGGAAGAGTGATTTAATGTAGTTCACGATGGGTGATAGTTTGGAAGGGAGAAATAAAGTTTTTGGTTGATGCTAGTGGCCTTTGGTTGAAGAAAAGGGTCTTAGTCGAAACCATAGAACCTTCGCGGTTAGGTTGAAGATGTAGAACCTCATGTCGTGTTTGCCACCACCCAAAAAGCCTTGTCCCCATGTCCAACATAATTGCCAGTAAATTCTTAGTAAAAACTAGGGTTAAAAGATAGCAAGGATCAGATATAATATTGATTACATGAAGGACGATTATGGATATGAGATGGGACTGGTCACTTTCATATATCCCGACACATTCTTTGTGAGTACTAATCATACTAGCCACAAAATTCAATAAGTGTAGAATTTTCCCTCATTCATTGAGTTAAAGAGAGTCGGATGAGTACAATTCCATTCATTAGAACCCCCGGTTGAACCTGGTCCAACCCAATTCGAGTTTCAAAAATGGCTTGCAGAAAGCCTCCGATCTGAATTCTAAAGAGGGAGAAGAAGAGAGGGGGAAGAGAGGAAGAGGAACAAGGTTGTTAAACCCGGCCTTATCGAACCCCCAATTGGACCCGGTCCGACCTAAGTCGGGCTTCAAAGCGACCTCGAGAAGTCCCCCGGTCTGACCCCTAAAGATGGAGAAGAAGAGCGGGGGAAGAGAGGAAGAGGAACGAAGGAAGGGAGATGGTGGGTGGGTCATGGAGGTTAGATAGATTTATTTTGTGGAAAATAAGTTTGTAATAGATCCATGTAAGATAAATTTCATTTCAGTTATTAAATCTTTAATTACTACCTTATTTGTATATATAATTAGAAAACGTCTAAAACAACTCAAACCGGCCGGACCTCAATCAAACTATTAAACCTCAAACCCCTTTCTTGACCGACTCAATGACTTAAACCGGTTTGACATCCTCGAAGAGGAACGAAGGAAGGGAAATGGTGGGTGAGTCATGGAAGTTAGGCAGATTTATTTTGTGGAAAATAAATTTTTAATAGATATATGTAAGATATATTTTATTTCACTCATTAAATCTTTAAATACTATCTTATTTGTATATATTTTTAGAAAACGCTTAAAACGGCTCAAACCGGCTGGACTCCAATTAAACTATTGAACCTCAAACTCCTTAATTGACTGACTTAATGATTTAAACCGGTTTGACAAACTTGTGTGCATCTCAAACTCAACACCTTTGGGAAATACCGCAACCGGAGGTAACATATTGAGCGTGGTATGTGGGATGCAATGCATAAAAAATATCTATCTAACTTGACTTGTTGTTTATGTCGGGGAAGCAACATTATTTACAAGTGTGATTTCGTCTGTTGCCTAACCAAAGTTTCTCCCATTAAAAACAAAAGCATTGGCAGCTGCAATGATTCAGTTTTGGAAAACCCAGTTTCCCGCGTAGGATCCACACACTTACCGAACCTTCCAATTTGACTTGCAATTTCTAACCACAAATCATGTTTGTTTCATTTGTTTTCTTCCATCCCCTATTCATTTTCGCTAACCAACTCGCATTTTGTGAAAGCTTGAAACCTAACTATCTAGAGCTGCTAGAAGTAGAGGTGGGCACGTGGGTGGTTAATTCGCGGATTGATATCGATCCACTCGCAAATAACCCGACCCGCATGTAACGGGTGATGGATGTGGGTGGATTGCGGATTGCTAAATCTCTCACCCCGCACTTATGTGGGTGGATGGTGGGTGGATTGCGAGTCACTCATATGACCCGCATCCTATTTTTACATGAAAAAATATTGTCTATAAAATATATGAAGCATATTCATGAGTCAGATTTTCTCTATTTTGAATTTGCTGATCAGGGATTAATTTTCGGAAGGGTGATTTAGTCATTTCACTCGGTTACATTAAATCATGCGCATCGTTTTGTCCATGGAAAAAAGTTGTTGTCGCACGCCAACAGGCTCTGGCCCAAACTCCGCCGGCCCATTTGGCCCAAACTCCACCTTCTTCCTCTGCCGACAACGACCATCAACCCCCTCTGCCGACATTGACCTGGTTAGCTATGTACAAAACATACCTTCAGCTCTACAATCCTCGCCGGCGGTGGCTAACGAATACAGTAGGAAGGAGCTCAGGTCACCGCCTTCTTCCCCATCTTTACCCAATCTCCATCTAATTTGCTTTCAGATTCCTCAATAAAGCCATTCCCTCTGATACAATCTAAAAATGGAAGGTCCCACATTGATGAAGCAAGCTGTCGGTAGGAAACACGGGTGATGCTGGAATCGAAGTGAGAAGAGAAATAGAGTCAGTTGTTGCATGCTCGCAATTGTCCGGATCTTCTTTGATTTCTCCTCAAATAACCCTTTGGCCAGAAGAAAGATTTAGTGGAGGGATTATAGGCATGAATCAAATGACAAGGACCGGAATTTCTTCATATCTTATTGGGGTTAATTGCATGGTTGGTCACTAGGTTTACAAAAAACGTTCATGTTTGGTCACTAGAAATATTTAAATCCAATCTTGGTCACTCAAATTAGTTAAATGGTTCAAGTTTGGTCACTCTCCGTTACCTTCCGTTAGTTTCCATTAACACCGTCAGTTTTTTGCTGACATGGCTAACGGAAACGCCTAATTAGCAAATTTTGACCTAAAAAAATTAAAGCAAAACCCTCCACATCAGCAAATCCCTCCATATCAGTTTCCCGAACCCAATGCTTGACCCGACTCCACTCCCCAACCCAGCCCTTGACCCGACTCTTCCCCACCCCATAATCACCATCTTCCAAGATTGAAGCCAGTGAAAGTCTGCACCTTTCTATCTTCCCCAACCCAATCTTCTTCCCCATATGTTCATCGTTTCCATCAAATTCAATTTAACAACCTTATCCTATTGCATTCATCAAAACAAATAAACAATAAACAGTTTCATTATTCATCCCATTTCCCATCTACCCAATCGGCAAATCCCTAATCTAATCTGTTACACTGACCGGCGACGAGCGATGGAGCTGGGATTCCTCCAACGGGCGACGACGACCGGGTTGAATTGAGAAGGGGACAACGGCTTGACGATGAGTGGCGGAGCGGGGATGACGAATCGACGAGCAGGATGGCGACTGGAAAGAAGACGGCGAGGCGACAGCGAGGCGGGCGACGTGAGGCGATGGCTACCGGCGACGTGAGGCGACGGCTACCGGCGACGGAGACGACTAGACAAGCGGCTGAGGCGGTCAAGCAGAGCAAAGTTGTGGAAGCAGAGAAGAGGGACGAAGACGATGGTGCCTGCCGCCTGGTGAGATTTTCGAGATGGACTCGCGCAGCTAGGGTTGGGACTTGGAACTCTTGGCCTCTCTTGGGTATTACCAATCCAATCCATCTTCCAAGATCTGTTAATTCTGGATTTGATGGAAACGATGAACATATAGGAGAAGAAGATTGGGTTGGGGAAGAAGGAGATGTGTAGACATTTATTGGCTTCAATCTTGGAAGATGGCGATTATGGGTTGGGGAAGAGTCGGGTCAAGGGCTGGGTTGGGAGTGTAGTCGGGTCAAGCGGTGGGTTGAGGAAAACTAACGTGGAGGGATTTGCTTATGTGGAGGGTTTTTCTTTAATTTTTTTAGGTCAAAATTTGCTGATTAGGCGTTTCCGTTAGCCATGTCAGCAAATAACTGACGGTGTTAACGGAAACTAACGGAAGGTAACGGAGAGTGACCAAACTTGAACCATTTAATTAATTTGAGTGACCAAGATTGGATTTAAATATTTCTAGTGACCAAACATGAACGTTTTTTGTAAACCTAGTGACCAACCATGTAATTAACCCTATCTTATTGAATTGAATTCATTGCAGTTAATAGGTTTTATATGCAATTTTCTCTTTTCGATGTTCAATGTATCAAAGATATTTGCATGAGTGCCAGCTGTTTACAATGATAGCCAAAAGCGCCACATGCCTACATCTAACAATGGTTTTATTAGTCTTTGCAAAAAAAAAAAAACAATGGTTTTATTAGTCATAATAAAAAAATGGCCTTATTAACTTCCTCCACCTTCACCATACTTATCGTAGAAAACTATCCTTACTAAGGATTGAAAAAATCGTATCGTACCCGCGGTTCGACTAGAAAAATCATCTACCTGAGATTAAACCGGTAGAAGGTAGTTAGCAGTATGAAACGGTTGAACAACGGTTAAATCATGTTTTCAGTATAAAATATCTAACCACTGAGTTTTCCAATACAAACTCCGGTACAGTATTTCAATCCTTATTTTCATTGAATTTTTCCCTTTTTGTTGTTGGTATTTTCATTATAATTTGAGATTTTAACACGTTCTTATACACATTTTAGCTTTATTTACTTTAGAATACAAAGGCTTATTTAGTTAGGCGTGGGTAAAAACTAATATTGTACGATCCATGAATTGAAAAAAATGTAAAATATCGTTGTGTTTGATGTGGAACGATGAAGTCTAAAAATTATCAATTCAAAGTGATCATGTGTATTTTCGAAGTACCCAATTTAACTTGAAAATTTACGAAATGGATGATATTTTTATATTATATTTTATAATTTGTAATAAGTATAAAAGTTTGAAATTGAGGATGAGATGAATTTCTTTACCAAACTAGATTAATATGGAGAAAAGAGAGAGTCCTTTAAGCTTATTGATAGAATTATCGACTCTGAAAGGTGATTAAACGGCGAGGACATATTTGTTTCGCTATTAACTCATACCATCTCAAATTATTCACGATTATTGATTTTCTTAGATGTATTATGATAATTGCCTTTTAATTATGAACTTAATTAAACTAACTTTATCATCTATTAAAACATGGTGATTTGAAGGGATTTCTTATCCATCCTGCTACGATAGCAAAAAAGGATGGAAAAAAAAAAGTATCTACATAAGGGGTTTTTCTCTTTCAAAAAAAAAATTCATAAAGTTTTAGTCGATTAATTACATAAGGTGGATGTAAGTTTTTTTGCACGTTTTTTACTCCTGTTTCTTCTCCAATAGTGATATGCATGGCGACGGCCAAATGTTTTAATTTTCATTTCGTTTTGTTTTTAACGTCCTTTTTTATATAATTGTTTCAAAACCAGTTTACTCCCCCTTTGATAATTTGTTTAGCGAATTACCAAGTTTTTTCATTTTGCCATTCTTTTCCACATGAGAATTTGACATATTGATCCATTGTTATCCCAAATGCCCCGTGCACCTTGGATATATGTTTTAAACAATTGTTTCACAACCACCTCTGCACTTGCTTCACTGGGACACTAGGTATTATTAGTTGGTCCGCTATAATAGAAACCACATGCATCTCATGTCATGATTCTTTACATTTCATCATGTTCTTTGTATCACATTAGTTATGTATCTCATGTCATGTTCTCATGCATAGAAAGACTCATGTTATGATTATTAAATGACTCACAAATTTACAACTCTGTATAACATGTTTGTCAACTATTAATGTTTTGATTTTGTCAACTATCACATGCATAATTCTAGATATGGTGCCTTATCGCATAAATTTCATGAGGCAAACATTTGTGTTTCTCACACATATTATATCTATAAACCAAATGATTTTGCTGCAACTCCTCACAACAATTATTATTTCTTAGTTATAGTAGTATTCTGTTACTAATGAATGGTTCCTTTAATTTCACAAATTATTTATCAGCCAAATTGAAAAATTTTCCACTTCACAAAGATGGATCCTTCTCATCTTTTATTAGTGGGATTGAGTCCTCCCAAACCACAGCTCATCATATTCAAACCATGTTGCGACAGAAAAAGACTGAGAAACAATTGGATGTTGCTGCAAGCCTGCAGCTCCTGCCTCCGGACAACAAACTCAGGAGAATATGCCCTTTATGTGAATTATCTACTTTGTTTCATGAGTGTTGTTTTTGTTCAGGGTAAATAAAATTTATTAGTTAAAATTTTCAAAAATGTATATGTTTTGTCAAGTTAAATTTTTGTAATGCATCATAATATTAGCCATTTGTTTGAGTGTTAGTAATATTGTAACTCTTTTATCAGTTAAAATGCAAAAAATTTGAAATGTTGACCACCACATGTATTTTTCGAGTATGTTGACTAACAAATTGCAAACACAAAGTTAACATTTACCTAATATTTTGTATTTTGAAATTTTTTATTAATAATTTGAAAAATCATTAAAAATGATTTGAAAAGTTTAAAAAATTTGACAAATAAATTATAGTTGCCCTTTTATTTAGGATCATAGAATTATTTACTGAATTATCTACTCAAACCAAGGCTCACAAGGGCTTTCAAGGGGTTCAGGTAAAGGTCGGATCAGATTAAAAGAGTGGGTAGTAAAGTGAAAGATTTTCGAAGTTTGCCTAATTTTATAGACCCATCTTTACATTTTGGATTTGGGCTATTGTTTTGTAGAATTAAAAGATTCATGGGTAAAACAATACAAATAATTATTTATCTCTATCAGAGATCAATCATTTTCCTTCATACTTGAGGTTGATTACGCATGTATCATGCGAAGCAACTACAATTTTCAACTATATAGTTTACTTAAATTGCTCGCCTTAGTTATAGATAGTCAATTGACTCTTAGTTGTATCCTATTTGAATGTTATATTATTTTCTACTCTTTCAGCTATATTGTGGCACATTATACATAGTCTGACAACTTGGCAAGATGTTTTCCAATAGAGAATTGTACAAATCATTTATTGCATCCATCTCTAATATATATCATATCTATAACTATACAATTATTCCACCTAAACTCATTGGGTCAACAATGTTTAGCTAGAAGTTACCAAAACAAACGAATTGTTTTCAATTGGATTTATATTTCAACGTTTACCAAATGATCAATTATGCATACGTTACCCGCCCAACGGGGCAGGCCCGGTGCTAGTTTCTTATAGTATCGAATATACATCATATTTTCGAACTGCACTACCATCTGACCATATACTGCAAAAGGTGGAGAATAAAGAATAGTTTTGACTACTATTATTGGTTATTGTGTTGGTATGCAAATTATTGTTAATAGCCATTAATATTGGGATACAAACTATAAATAATTAATTGTATCAAAATCACAAATTATTGATACAATCTTACTAATACTTATTATAAATGTTAGTCAATTTTCTTAATGGTTAGTTGGAGAATTGCTTTTGCGGGTTACCCGCGACCCAACCGCAAGTTTTCTCTTTCTCAATTAAATGTTGGTTAAATACACTTGTATATCAAAAACTTTCACGGTTGTGCCAATAACATCCAAATTTTCCGAAATACTACTTATATCCAATTCCTTCGCATTCTTTAACGGTGTTTTTGGATATACAAGTGTATTTTACCAAAAAAATATATTGGAAAATGGATAGATTTGGCAAAGAACAACTTTAAAACATGTATATAAGTGGTATTCCGGGAAATTTGGATATTATTGGCACAACTGTGAAAGTTTTGGATATATAAGTGTATTAAACCTTAAATGTTCTATGATTGTTCACTATATCCCACCTTTGTTTGCGGTAGATTCTGCAAGTTTTCTCTTTCTCAATTAAATGTTCTATGATTGTTCACTGTATGTTCAAGTTCAAGATTCATGACAAATTAAATGTTACTTAGTTACACGTTTTACATTTCACTACTCATTAATTAGTGTATGGACGACTTTGCTAGAATTATTAAAATCGGTTTATTGGTATCTCAAATACAAAATAATGAAAAAATCAACCTCAATCCGAAATATTTTGAATTACTAAGTAATGAAATGTATATTTGATTATTTTTTTCAGTATTTTTTGTTTCTATATTTGAATATAAAATAATGGAAATTTTATATTTGTGTGTAGAAACAGTGGAGTATTAATAGAATAAACTTATGCTTAAATATTATTAAATCCCTCATAATTTCCTAATCTCAATTTAGTTTCACTCTAATCATTCATCATACAACTAAACAATTCATTTTTATAAAATATTTTATCATGATCATAAACACAAATCAATAAAAATCGGTAGCGAAGCTAGCAGGAAAGGAGCCCACTTCGTAAGACGTCACCGACTGGCATATAGAGATCAACGAAGGGTAGGCGGTGGTGATCGGATACCCAAGCATGACGGCGCACGGGGAATCAATAAATTGTAAAGAACGTCGATGACAATGGCAGGTCGCTGACAGCAACCATGCTCGTTGACGAATGCTATTGGGAACGAGGAGTTTGTTGTAAATTTGGTAGAACCGGACTAATCAAGTCAAACCGGTTTTGGGTTGGACCTATCAATCGGTTTGGGATTAGACCGAGTGAACCAATATTCTAATTCCGTGAAGCGACGCATCCCTTTGGCCTAGTAGCGGTTGCATTATTTTATGGATAAGGATAACATTATGGATAAAGCCAACCCTTCATATGGATAAGGATAACCTTTCATATGGATAGAGGTAACCTTTCATATGGATAAAGACAACCTTTCATATGGATAAAGACAACATTTCGTATGGATAAAGGCAACCTTTCATGAAACAATGCATCGGTTCGGCCCCTATAAATATGTGTGGGGTGGATGATGCCACATACCATAAAACATATTCTTCTTCTTTCTTCCAAAAATTTCTAGGTATGCTTTAGTGTTCTTGAGCCTGGAACCTAAAGTGGTGATAGTT